ACCAATTTGGCCAGCAGAGGAGGGCCATTGGGGACAAGATCAGGCCAGTAGGGGAGGGTCATTGGGGGTGAGATCAGGCTGGCAGGGGAGGACAGTTGGGGCAACCAGGCCTGCAGGGGAGGGCAGTTGGGGGCAAGCTCAGGCTGGCAGGGGAGGGAAGTTAGGGGCGATCAGGCAGGCAGAGGCAGTTTGAGATGAGATCAGGCCATCAGGGAAGAGCAGTTGGGGGCAAGATCAGGCTGGCAGGGGCAATTAGGTAGGCAGGCAGAGGCAGTTAAGGGCAACCGGGTAGGCAGGCGTGTGGTTAGGAATCAGCGGTCCCAGATTGTGAGAGGGATGTCTGACTGCCCGATGGGGCCTAATTGGGCAGTCGGACATCCCTCAAGGGGTCCCCGATTGGAGAGGGTGCAGGCTGGGCTGAGGGAACCGCCACTCCATGCACAAATTTCATGCACCGAGTCAGTAGCCCCTTTATAAAGCACTCTTATTAGTTTTTAGGAAGGACTGTTTTTGGGGAGTGTCTGTTAATCCACCTCTTGGAGTCAGGTGTTCTGTATTTAGTCACTGAAGTAGTGGAGGAGGGAGAAGAAGGGTGAAGGGAAGGGCTCTTTGCTAATATCTCCATACCTAGAAGAAAGTTTTAGGTTATAACTATAGGTCTATATATATTTTTGTAAAGTACCTGTGTTTATTATGGACAAGGTTCTTCTCTTTATTTTTAAAACCTTGGAGCTTTTTAGATGTCCTGAGGTGACAATGTCTGATAAAAAGTAGAGCTAGTGAATTAACCAATTTGTAAATATCTTTTTGTTATAATCATTAGAAAAGAGGCATCTTGGACATGGAGCTATTGAACCATTTCAGAAATGGACATCAGGACTTGTTCATGCGAGGGGTGTGTGTGGATGTGTTCATATTCACATTGTGGTGATAACCACAGATGTGCATGCACCTCTTTAGGCTATGCTATAGGAATTTGTTGTTAAGTACTTCAGTCAAAACTTTCTTCCTTGCTGAAACCGGTTTGGTTCAGTGGTAGAGCGTCAGTCTGCGGGCTGAAAGGTCCCGGGTTCGATTCCGGTCAGGGGCGTGTATGTTGGCTGCGGGCACATCCCCGGTGGGGGATGTGCAGGAGGCAGCTGGTCAATGTTTCTCTCTCATCGACATTTCTGGCTCTCTGTCTCTCTCCCTTCCTCTCTGTAAAAAATCAATAAAATATATTAAAAAAAAAAACACTTTCTTCCCTGCTAATATTTAAAATTATAAATCATAATTTTCTTATAGAAGCATTATACTTTGTGTACTCTTGCTTTGGGTCTCATTTTTAATTTGGGTCTCATTAAGAGAACGCAATATTTTAATTATAACCTTGTGAATATCTTTTATCTAGAGGTCTGTTGCTATTTTTGTCCTTTATAAATTTTTTTCACCAAGTAAGGCAGAATTACATTTTCTTCCAGATTGAGTTGGTGTAGGGTATTCTTGGTTATCAAAATACTCATAGCTCTGGGACTTTGAAATGGTAAATATTCATGATGTGTGAGAAAGCATGATACATAACTATACCATCTTAATTACATTAAAAATGAAAGCTTAACTGTGTAGATAAACAGGACTTAGAAGGACCTGTCAGACTGTAAACAGCTTGTGATTATGGGTGGCTTTATTTTTGCTTGTGTTTTTCAGTTTCCTATATATGCACATGTTAACCTCGAAAAAACAAATGTTAGTTTAAAGCCTAAAAAAAAAAAAAAAAAAAAAAAAAAAACCCAGAAGTTTTAATCAGTAATTCTGATACTAAAATTTGAAAACCATTGTTCAAGGTATTTTCTAACTTTTGCAGTGAGGGAGCCACCTGTTTTTTCTTTCCTTATTGAGTTGTAATTTACATAAAATGGGATTTTTTTTTTACAAGTTTACATCCTGTAACCCCCACACAAACCAAGGCTATTTTCGACCACAGAAGGTTATCATGTACCCATTTCCAGTCCATTCCTCCCACCCCAGCTCCAGACAACCATGTCTGCCCTAGAATTCCATGTAATGATAATTATACAATGTTCTCTTTTGTGTCTGCCCTTTTTTGTACTATCTAATGTGTTCATTTACTTCCATTGCTGAGCAATATACCATTGTATGAATATACTGTAGTTTTGTCCATTCTCTAGTTGATAGGTATTTTTTTAACATATATTTTATTGATTTTTCACAGAGAGGAAGAGAGAGGGATAGAGAGTTCGAAACATCAATGAGAGAGAAACATCCATTAGCTGCCTCTTGCACACCCCGTACTGGGGATGTGCCCACAACCAAAGTACATGCCTTTGACCAGAATCAAACCTGGGACCCTTCAGTCCGCAGGCCGACGTTCTATCCACTGAGCCAAACCGGTTCCGGCTATTTTTTTGTTCCCAGATTGGAACTACTAAAAATAATACTGACATTTCCTTTGGTGGACAGAAGCACTCATTGCTCGTGGATATATATCCAGGAGCACCTCTCCCTTTTTAATTAAATATATTTTATTTTTAGATCATTATAGATTCACATGAATTTATAATAAATAATAGATCTCATGTACCTTTTACTCAGTTTCCCCCAATGGTAACATCTTGCAAACTATACTCCAATATAACAACCAAGATATTGACATTGATACAGTCAAGATAAGAATATCACCACAAGGATTCCTCATATTATTCTTATAGCCACGCCTACTTTTTACCCTTCACCCCCTTTCCTTAACTACTCATAACCTGTCTTATTCTCCATCTTTATAACCCTGTCATTTCAAAAATGGAGGATTTTGAGAAGTGGATAACAATGTTAAAGTGGCTTAAAAGAACACAAATTTTATTTATTACCTAGAGGTCAGATAGAAGTCCAAATTAGGCTTAAATTTAGCTTAAACAAAGATTTTGGCAGTACTGTGTTCCTTCTGGAGTTTCTAGAAGAGAATCTATTTCCTTGCTTTTCCCAGTTTCTAAAGGCTACTTGCATTCTTGTCTTATGTCCTTGTCCTTCATCTTCAAAGCTAGCAGCATAGCATCTTCAAACCTGATTCTGATGCTCTCTCATCACTTAAGGACTCCTGTGATTGCAATGGGCCCACTTAGATAATCCAGCATCATTTCCCTATCTTAAAATCCATAATCATATCCCCAAGTCCCTTTTGTCACATAAAGTAATGTATTCATTAATTAGAACATGGATACCTTTGTGAAGCCAATATCTGCTTATCATATCCATCTTCCAGGAAGAAGAAAGTCCCTCTGTCTTCCTCTTTAATAAAATAATAAATTATAAAGCTACTCCTAGATAGCCCCACATACAAAGCATACAAAAGATATCTTCTGGTTGAAGTTAGAGGGGACTTAAAGCTTCTTCATTACACAATACATCCAAAGTTGGGACAATCATAGCAGAAATTCATAATACCCTCTCCTATACTTAAGTTCTAGAGCAGTGTCTCCCAAAGTGTGGTATGCTTACCTCCAGGGGTATGGGAAGAGTTTGGTGGGGGTACCCATTGCACCAGAGTTTGGTGGGGATATGCACTGCTTCGTGCTTAGCTGTGCCTAATTCTATGTTCTCATGAGTACCAGGGGTACTCAGCATTATGAAAAAGTTTGGGAAACACTGTTCTAGAGCCTTAGAATTCTATTTGCCTTAAAATTGAAGTATATCCTATTCCCAATGCATGCCCATCTTCTGTTGGGAATGGTAGGGAGAAAATATAGCATAGTGGTTAGGAGCATAGGTTCATGAACTAGACTGCCCGTGTTCATCCCCTTACTCTACTATTTCTAATCTCTATAATCTTGGACAAATTAATTCATCTTATTGGGCCTCAATTTCTCCACCTATAAAATGGGATAAAATATTCTTATGTTCAGAGCAGTGGGTCCCGAGTTTTTCTGTACCTTGTAACCATCAAATACTATACTGAAGCATAATTATAACTTGATCTGAGGAAATGATCTGGCTTCTGAATCTTTAAGATTCTAATGTGCAGTCAAGTTTGGAACCTCTGCCTCAAAAGGTTATTGTAGACAAAAGGAATTTAGACTTAAAGAATATGTAATTCACTTTTCCTTGTAAGTACTGGCCCATCAAAAAGGGCTGGTGAGAGAGTGTGCCAGGTTCAAAATGTTCTGGAAGGCTTATCTGAGACTCAATTTCCTCACCTTCAAAATCAGGATAATCATATATAGGCAACAAAGTTGACGTGTTTTATAAACCATAAATACTGCCTAGCAGTTTTTGTACATACATAACAACCCACCCACTGTCACTTTATACCCAACTCTACACCACCTTTTGCTCAAGGCAAGTTATTTGACCTTCATTGGCACTTCAATAAATGTAGTAGTAGGTCGGCAAGCCTAGAGGCCTTGCTGACAAGGAAGCAGGACAGGACTTGACCACAGGAATAGTAGTTCAGAGATACAAACCATCCCTCAAAACAGCCCAAGGAACGTTACATTGACCATGTGCAGGGTCTACCTACACAAGAAAAGTAGGCCTGAAGCTGTGAAAAGGACATAGGCTACTAAGCCAGACAGTCCTGTGCCCTTGGGCAGTAATTCTACTTCTTCACGGCCATTAGTTACTCTATAAAATGAGGATAGCCGGAACTGGTTTGGCTCAGTGGACAGAGCATCGACCTGCAGACTGAAAGGTCCCAGGTTTGATTCCGGTCAAGGGCATGTACCTTGGTTGCGGGCACATCCCCAGTGGAGGGTGTGCAGGAGGCAGCTAATGGCTGTTTCTCTCTCATTGATGTTTCTAACTCTCTATCCCTCTCTCTTCCTCTTTGTGAAAAATAAATAAAATATATTTTTTAAAAATAAAAAATAAAATGAGAATAGTCACATCCATTCCCCATAGGACTGAAGTGAGAATGAAATGAGACCAGGGATTGTGGTCTACAGAGTGCAAATTACAGTGAAGTGTCTTATAGTCACCCACTCATGCTAGAAAGAAACATCAAGTCACAGTGAAGTCTTCCTAAATTTTATTGGCAATGAAAGAGAACATGGGTTGAGCATAAACCCCTCCAAAAAAAAAAAACAAAAAACAAAAACACAAAACAACAACAACAAATTTTAAAAACCTCAAAAATACATATCCCAAAACCTGAATACAAAATCTAACTTTTCTCCCCAGCCTCTCTGGGGGTGGGTTACTGATCTTAAGGCAGCTAGATTGCCCCACAATTCCAGGTTTAAATTTAGCCAATCTACAGCATATTACCAAGAAAGTGTCAACATAATTCACAGCAATGCACATAAAACTCCCCAAGGTCAGGCGGAAGTAAGGAAAAGTGGGGAGGGGTCAAAGCCATGAGTTCTGGGCTAGGGACACTGCATGCAGGGACAGTATGCCCCTTATGGACCAAACTTTGAGGAGAAGGAAAAAAAGGAACAATAAAACCAAATGTGAAGTACTTTAAGAAGGATTGTATGACCTACAGTAACAGGTGATATCACTAATACTGAAAGCCCCTTATACTAATGTTTCTGGAAAAATATTCTTTTATAATATAGTATATGATTCCCAGGTGTAGGAGTGGTAAGGGAATTTGGCCAAAATGACTCTGCTCCGACCTTCAAAGGATTAATTAGCAAGACATTCAGAAATTAATATTGAGTTGATGCCACTAGAATGTATAATACTGGTAGAATAAAAAAAAAGGACACTCATGCAACAGAGTGAAGGAAGAGGCTACTCCTAGCTGAGAGTCAGGGGTAGGACTGTGAAAGGCCAGAGTCCCCAATAGTTTTCTGGTTTACAGCTCTAACGGACAGCACAGCTGGTAGCAAGATCTGGGTTAGAGGTTTGTTAAACATAGGCAAGTCCCAGTCTCCAGCTTGGAGATAGGTGACAGGAAGGGCTATTAGGCACATGATGGAGTCAAGTAAACTGGGTTCCAGGCCATGGACTTCTCTTACCACACTCAGCTTCTTCTATCCACTCACCAATTGGCATCAACATCTAGAGCTCACCATACCAAGGTGTGTGGCCCAAGTAGCCCTGGTAAGAGAAGTGGCTTGGGAAAATATGGCAGGGAAAATATGGAAGCCAGGTGTGAATATTTCCTCCCTCTGGCAAGTCCTAGATAGTACTGTGTGAGTTTTTGGGTAACTACCCTACTGTTTTACAGGAGGGGATTTGAATGAGGAGAAGCAAATCCCAAGAAGGGAGGAGTAACCCAGAATAATAAGGGATACTTGGGCCCATGGAGATAATTTGAAACAAGCCTAGGCTCCCATATAACCTTGGGGAAAGGATCTTCTATCCAGCCTTGCCTGGACAGAATGGCAAATAGCCTTCTAAGATGTTAGTAAAGTCCCTTGAAGGCACTGTCTTCCCCACCTCAACCTAGGGAAAAACTGAGTCCCTGAAGTGAAGGACAAGGCTTATCGGGACTGAGTTTGTAACAGGCCCGATCTGGGAGGTAGAGAGAATAACTGAACATCTTTAAAGCCTCTAATCATTATAAAGCCTAAATAACTCTAGAAGTAATGGGCACTTGACATCATAGAGCATGTAGCCAGGGCCCTGTCTCCTTTCCCAAACCCTGTAATGCTCCAATTCATCAAATCACAGGACCCTGAAAAGGAAGGGAGTGGTGGGAGTTACTAGTAGTTTTCAATCTACTCAACAATTGACACCAAGAGAACAACAGTAAATGTAGGGAAGTTTCCCAGATCAAGTGGGAAGTGCCTCTGAGCTGTAGGAGTGGTCTGTTTTAGCAATTTAGATTGAATGGGACAGAGAGGGAAAAGAGGTTCCCATTGGCACCAAGGTGAGCTATTTCTCTGCCCAGGGAAATAAATGGGGCTGAGGGACTAGGGTTTGTTCCATGGCTACAGTGAACACTTTGCATGACTCCAGGGCTGCTCTAGTTAGTGGCTCCAGCACAGTGTGAGTTAGGCGAGAGTATAGGAGTCTGGGGGCAAGGAAGAAGGGAGGAGGGGTCTCTAGAGGCTAGGTGCCATTACATGGACTCAAACTCATCTATGCGCTGCTTGGTATTGCCCTGCCGGATCTGGCGCAGGGTCTTGTATTTGTCTCGGCCCAGTCGCATGTTCTCAGCATGGATCATGTCATTGGCTGTCTTCTTGGACTCATCGAGAGCATTGGCCAGCTCTGAAGTAAGGGCCTATGAGGATGCATAGGATGAGAGGTTAATGGTTTCCTCTAATTTTACCTCCCTTTATTTAACCAGTTTTTCCCCTTTCCTTCTCCTCTCTCCCGTTTCCTCCCTTCCTCTATCCCTCTATCTCCCTTCCCCCTCTCTCCTGTCTCCTGCCTTCCCTCCTTGTCCCCGCTTTTTACACACACCCACGCACATTTTTGAGAGACTTTTCTAGCCCTGTTAGGATTGCAGTGGTGCAAGAATAAAAAGGAAAACACACACACACACACACACACACACACACACACACACACTTAGGGGGCCAATTGCAATTAATGACAAATATTCCCTGAGAGTAGAACAATGTACCAAAGATTCAAGTATAGAAATTGTGTCAGTTAAGTACTTCTTCTTTTTTAAAAAAATTAATTTAGTACTTCTTAAATATAAGAGGTAAACAGAGTATAGGTGGAGGATTAGAAAAAACAAGAGGAAGCTCAGGTTCTGATTAATAAATAAAGAGGTGGCCCTTGCTGGCATTTCTCAGTGGTTAGAGCTTCAGCCTGTGCACTGGAAGGTCATGGGTTTGATTCATCGTCAAGTGTATGCACCTGGGTTGCAGGTTCAATCCCCAACCCAGTCAGTGCATGTGGAAGACAACCAATTGATGTTTCACTCCCTCTCCCCCCTCCCTTCTTTTTTTAATCCTCACCAGAGGACATGTTTTTTTTTTTTTTTTATTGATTTTTATTTTTTAGAGAGAGAGTGGAAAGGGATAGAGAGAGAGAAATATCAATGTGACAGAGTCACATCAATTGATTGCCCCCCACACCTGACCGGGGATAGGGATTAAATCAGAAACCAACGTACATGCCCTTGACTGGGAATCGAACCTGCTCTAACCACTAAGCAATTGGCCAAGACACTCCACACCCCCTTTCCCTTACATTCTCTCTAGAAATCAATGGAAATATATTCTCACTCCTTATGTGAGGATTATAAATAAATAAACAAACAAATAAATAAGAGGTACCTCTTATTGAGTCCCTTACTTGAGAAAGGCTCAGATTCCCATATAGCCTTGAGACAGGCTGCTCCACCTACCAAACCCCTCCCTGCCATTAAGATCTAGGGAAGACCATTGGCTACTAAATCAATACACATAGTCTCCTTGATTCTTTGGCCCTGTTTAGATACCTTCAGGTGCTTCTGCACACGCTCATTCTTCTCTGCTTCAGTGGTACGTTCCTCCTCACTGCGGTCCTTGGCCATGGCATCAGCTCGCAGGTCAGCACTGGCCTCTGCCCCATTCTCATCCTGCTCATCCTGATCATTTTCAGCAGGCTCTGCCACATGAGGAGTACTCATGGCAGTCTTCAGCTCGGCACGGGTCTTCTCCAAGTCTTCTTGTACCATCTGAGCCTGTACAATAATGGAGGGAGAGATGGACAAGCAATCAGAACAAGCTAACTCACAGCATCCTATGCATGCCTAGAATGGCCTAGCAGAGGCAGGCATCAGGTAGACCAAGTCATTTTGTCTGCTTAATCCTTAGTTTCCTCAACTACATAACAGGAGCTATTGTATCAATTTCCCTATAGCAGTGGTTGGCAAACTCATTAGTCAACAGAGCCAAATATCAACAGTACAACAATTGAAATTTTTTTTGAGAGACAAATTTCTTAAACTGAAACTTCTAATGCCACTTCTTCAAAATAGACTCACCCAGGCCATGGTATTCTGTGGAAGAGCCACAGTCAAGGGGCCAAAGAGCTGCATGTGGCTCGCAAGCCACAGTTTGCCTACCACAGCCCTAGAGTATTGAAGAATTCTGGGAAGTCATTTGAGAAAGTCTTGAGCTCCTTCTCCCATAATGCCTGCTGTCAAGGAAGGCTTGAAATGGGAAGGAACCCAAACCTAAGAAATCTATGGAACTGGAATCTCTGCATGTGTTACCCCTTCCCACAATGCTTTGCTCTGGGCACTCTGTCTTACCTTCTGCTGCCATTCTACAGCCTCACTCTCTTTCTTCTGTCGGGCCATCTCCAGCTGGGAGATCCGAGATGTCAACTCTGCCATTTCCAAGGCCTATGGATAAATTGGAAGCTTGTGAGAGCTAGGCTTTCTTGTGTCTTAGGACCCAGGTCCCTTTAACCCCAGTTCTCCTGGGGAATCAATGAGGAACCTGCTGCTCCACCTGGACTTGCTTGCTGTCCTGGAGGCTCTTTTTACCACTCCTTCTCCAGGAATCCCAGAAGATCACTCATATTCTCAAACTACTATAGCACTCTAATAACTTCAAACCATTTCATTATAAATCAGAGTTCCAAACCTAAAGTATAGACCCCCCCTGAAAACAAATAGGATATCATCTGTCTCTTCCTCACCTTTCCTGCTCTCCAGTCCTTCCCATCCCTCAGCCCTCCCCCTCTCAGTATTGCCCACAGTGCATTAGAGACCATTGTGTCACTTCCTGAAGTGGCAGACCCTTTATTGTTATCCTAGAATGTTGAGGGCTCCACTAAGACTCTTCCCAGATCAAGTATAGAAAAGACACTCTAGTATTACAAGGTGATCTGAACAAGGGGTAAAAGCTTACGCCTTCACACCTTGGGCCATTTAACACACTGAGTTTGTGATACCTTCACACCTTGAGCAAATCTAGAGAAAGCTTCCCCATGAGAAGTAGGTCTTAGTTTCCTGCATTCCCATTGCAAATAGCAGTGTGGACAACATATATCAAGGAATTTGGGTCACAGATTGTTAACTTCTGAGTCACAGAACCCTGAAAATTATTAGTAAAGTATTGATTTTCATCTTCCCCTCCTGAAAAATGTATAAGCACATAGTATTACATGTGATTTTAGGGAGCAAACCCTTCAGAGAGGCCAAAAAGGGTTCTCATTGTTAATCACAACTGTGAGACCTTTGGGAAGTCTCTTAAACCTCTCTGAGCCCTAATTTCCTTATCTGAACATATATTCCAATATGGGTAATGCCATAGGGATTTTTGGAAGAGGAATAAGAAAATAAGGAAAAAGGGAAAGTTGTAACACATTAGGTAGTCAAGTGGGAATCCCTTCACTTCTTCCTCTCTTTCCTTTGTCAACTCATCAGCTCAGATCCCCAAGGGATAAGAAAATAGAATAAAAGTAAGGGTTAGTTAGGGAAGACTGTTGCAAAGGTATCTGGTCCACACCAGTGACTTCTCAGCTTGCTTCTGAATGAACTATTTGCTTGAGGCTCTGCTGGAAAGAGCCAGTAGTCAGACAGGGACAAAAAACTCAGGTCCTTCAATCCCAGCCCATTTTATAGTTTTACCAGTTGTTCCTGGGTCTTCTTCTGGTCCCGAGAAGCCTGCAGGAGAGCCAGCTTGGCCTCTTCAGCTTCTTGACGCTCTTTGGCCAGTTTTTCAGCCTCACTCTGGGCACGTTTCCGCTCCTGTTCAAGTTCCAGAGCCCTGCGGGTCTGTTCTTCCAGTTCTTGGAAGAGAAAATGGGGGAAAGGAGGTGAAGAGTGCAGAGATAAGAGACACCTATCTTCTTTCTTAGAAATGTTTCATACTAGGGCACAGCTGGCAAAAAGCTCTGGACACTCTTTTCCTATCCCATGCTTTATCAATTCTGTAGCCATATAAGGATTATGTGGCCTGAGTCTGCAGCTCAGGCAGAAGGGTCTCCAGATCATAGAGTTAGGCTCTGGAAAAACCAGCTCTCCAAGGTGTCACCAAGTCTCACCTTGCTGAGCCTTCTTAGTCTGTTCCTCAATCTGCTTCAGCTTCTCCATTAGTTCCTCCTTCTCTCGTTCAATCTTCTCCTTCTCCTTTTCTGCCATCTCACGCTTCTTCTTCTCATTTTCCAGCAGAGCACTAGGAAAGGAGAAAGAAGGGATTAAACAGGAGGCTCTTAAACATGGATGCACTGGGATCCCCAAGATTCCCAGGCCCTGGACCCTCAGCCCACTCCCATTTAACACACTGAGTTTGATGACTCTTCCTTATCTCCACATCCTTATCTTTATAGCATACGTAGTTCCTCATGGGCCAGTGCACTCAAGGCCCAATCAGTTTGTCCAAGGCTCAGGAGATCCAACCTGAACTTTCAGCTCTGCCACTAACTAGTTGGTAACCAGTGGTTAACCTTAACCATGTCACTTCTTTACACTTGTTCTCAGTACTCCTATATGTAAAATGGCCTATTAAGTTCTACCTTGGCAACCTCATGGAATTATAAGGAGATAAGGTTTTGTTCTGTTCTAGGATACTGTGCTTCAAGTGTGCTGAACTCTGTTTTAGGGCATCAGTCCTCAGGTCTGACCCTGCCAGTTCTCTGAAGCCCAACTCTAGATTCCTTTCCACCAGAATTTATTGCAAATCTAGAATAAATATTTTCTTTTCTTGTGCCAGCCCTGTTCCAGGACATCTTTTTTTCTCCCTTCGCTAGATGTTTTATCTTTCTCTGAGCCTTCAGAATACTTGATTATCCTTATTCCCAGCCCTCCTCTCTATTATTTTTATCCACAATACTTCTTACTATGAAAATTAATAAACAGAAACCTCATTTATAATGGAGTAAGGAGGCTAGAGAGAACTCTCAAATACTTGTCACTCAATGTATACTATTGACTCTAATAGGAAGAGACATACCTTGCATCTCATACAGGAAGTGATACTACTTTACTACCTCAGAGGGAAGAATAAAGGATTCCTCCTGGCCCAGTAACTGCTCAGCCAATGGGAGACTGCCATAACTCAGCCAATGAAAATTCATTCTTCTAACTTTCAGTTTCCTCTAATAGACTCTTTGTTTAGAACAGCCTTTTCGAGAAAAAAAAAAGTGTTTCTCCTCTTTGTTTCTCTGGACTTGCATATACTTCACCAATAAACTCCATGTCTTAAATTGCAATTCTTTGTATTTCCCAAATAAAGTCATTTTGCTGGAGAAATATCTAGTCATCTATTTAAGGTCAATTTTGCTATTTCACACACTGCATAATTTTCTTATTCTGTTTCTTCCTACTAGAGTGACAGATTCATGAAAGCAGGGATTTTTGTCTATTTTTCCCCACTGCTCAGTAAATATTTATCAAGTGAACGACTGACATAACATTTATACTTTGAACAGTTAGATGTATACTATTTTTCCTCTTTCTCCTACTAGACTGTGATGTCAGTGAGGGCAGATTTCTGCCAGATTCAGCTTTGTAAACTGTCCAATCTCAGCAATTTATATATATATATATATTGATTTCAGAGAGGACAGGAGAGGGAGAGATAGAAACATCAATGGAGAGAATCATTACTCAGCTGGCTCTTGCATGCCCCCTGCTAGGGTTAAAGCCCACAACCTGGGGGTGTGGCTTTGATAAGAATCAAACTTGGGACCCTTCAGTCTACAGACCAAAGCTCTATCCACTGAGCCAAACTGGCTAGGGCGTCAGCACTTTTTTAAAGAATAAATGTTAATCAGCTTAACAATAACCCACAACCTTCGGACCAACTCCTATGAGTCTCTGAAATCCTAAGCTTCTGATGTCTGCTTCTTGGAAGGGGTGTCATCATTGTACAATAGAGCTCATTCTCATTCTCTCTCTCTCTCTCTCTCTCTCTCTCTCTCTCTTCTCGGCCCTCCCCCTGTTGCAGGATGGCTTCATGTCTGTGCTGCTTTTAGCAGACTTGGCAACTTATTGATAGATAGGTTTCTTTGCCCTGGTCCTGGTTCCATCGCTTACCGCTCCATCTGCTTCTGGTGCTTCTCCTCCCGGGCTTGTGCCTTCATCTGCTGCACCTCAATGGTGTCTGGCTTGCGACGGCGCATGTATAGTTCATGGTTCCCCATGCACAGAGCCAAGATCCGTTTATTAATCCGCAGCCGGGGAGCATAGAAGACAAAGTCCTAGTGGGAGACCAGAAATTAGAAAAAGTTTGGAGGGTTAGATAAAGGTGAACTTCTCTAAGTCCAAAAGCACTAGAAAGATAATTAACTAAATGTTATATTAAATATGGTGAGGCTAGTTATCAGAGTGGTGACGTTACCTGCCCAGGGTCAAAGGGCAGTTTAGTGGCAGACCCAGTATTACAACCGAGGCTTGACTCTGAAATCAGTGCTCTTTGAACTAACCACAATTTCTTTCAAACTTTGCATCCTAAAAAACCTCAATCTAGTTCTAAGTCAGGAATTGATTTTATCTTCTAATTAGGAATGCTTTTGGTTATCAGGGGCCTCTTTTTGAGGCCCAATAATCCCTGCAAAGTACACTGATGAGTGTAGTATGTATGGGTGGCTGGACTATTTCTGTTATCTTCTAAAAGCATATTCTAGACCTATCCCCTTAAGTATTTTTTTTGAATAACAGGTTGTAAATACATACATGAATACATTAATCTCCTAAACATCAATTGTTTTGGTTGTTATTGTTTTCTAAATAAACCCTGGCTCTCAGCTGGCTTTATTACTTACTTTTTCTGGTGAAAGTTGTACATAACAGCAATAAACACAGAGAAAAATGAGAGAGAGAGAGAGAGAGAGAGAGAGAGAGAGAGAGAGAGAGAGAGAGAGAGAGAGAGAGAGAAATCCAGTGAGTTTGTGTTTGTTACCACAAATAACACTGGACCAAGCTGATGAGCTAACCAACAGGTTCTTTGCCACTGAACCTAAACTGCTACCATCTCACATAGCTTAGTATGCAGAGAAAGGGGCACAAGCTTTAGAGGTCAAATGATCTAGGTCAGGAGTCAGCAAACCTCAGCTTGTGAGCCACATGCAGCTCTTTGGCCCCTTGAGTGTGTCTCTTCTACAAAATACAATGTGCGGGCACGCATGTATAGTGCGATTGAAACTTCGTGGCCCATGCGCAGAAGTTGGCTTTCATCCTGGGAGAGTCTATTTTGAAAAAGTGGTTCTAACACCAAGCCACACTCAAGGGGCCAAAGAGCCCCATGTGGCTCATGAGCCGTGGTTTGCCAACCACTGATCTAGGTATTAATCACAGCTCTACCCTTTTTGGCTGTGTGATCTTAGGCAAATCATTCCATCTCTCTGACCTCAATTTTGTCGGTTATAAAATGGCTATGCTACTATCTACCGGATAGTGTTGCTAAGGGTTTAGGGAGACAATATATTGTATATAAAGTGTCTAGCAGGATGAGTTCAGAGACTTCAAGGCTGAAGAAAAATAGTTGAGGTCTCATGAGAGTATCTGGCTCAGCATGGTTTTCCTACCCTACTCCCAATCACCAGCTTTCCAGTCTTGTTAGCCACAGGCAACTGAGTATGTAAGATGTGTTTTGCAAGCACATTAAAGAAATGACTAGACCTAAATCACTTTTTTATTCTTGAGTTGCTTTGGAGAGAAGTTTTTGTTTATTTTTAATTATTTTCTTTATTGATTAAGGTATCACATATTTGTCCTCAACCCCCCATTCCAATCCCCCACCCCTCAATCATGCCCTCACCTCCCTATTGTCCTTGAGCACTGGTTAGGCTCATATTTGTGCACATAAGTCCTTTTGTTGATCTCTCCCTTTTATCCCCACCCTCCCTTTGAGGTCCAACAGACTGACCCATGGCTTTCTATCTCTGGGTCTATTCTTGTTCATCAGTCTATGTTGTTCACCATTTTTGTATTTTAGAAAATTAATTGTAATGCTATCAGCAAGACACCCATGAAAAACACACATGGTGTCAAAACAAGACAGAGGAAAATCATTTAGGCAAAAAATGAAAAAGGATCCCAAGTCAAATTTATAGAAAATATTCCTTTATTAACTTTTGGTCGAGAATATGTATGTATATTTTCAGAAAACAACTCTGAGACCATGTGGATTCTGGCAACAGAAAGGAATTCACAGGACTACTCCAACCATGAAGACAGAAGAGAAGCAGTCCACAGAGAGAGAGAAAGTTTTTTTTTTAAGATATGACTTTATTAATTTTAGAGAGACAGAAAGGTAGAGGTAGGGAGAGGGAGAGAAATATCGATGAGAGAGAAACACTAACATCAATTGGCTGCTTCCTGCATGCCCCGCTCTGGGGATGAAGTCAGCTACCTGGGCATGTGCCCTGGCCAGAAACCAAACTGATGACCTTTTGGTACAAAAGTTGGTGCTCAACCACTGAGCCACAGCTAGGCTGTAGAGGAGTCTTGAGAGGACATCAGAAAAGTTATACCAAAAAGCAAGTTTGGAGGATCATCTTTGGATCTGTTCTTCTCCTGCTCTGCCCTTTCTCCACAATTAAAGATAAATCAAGAATAGTGTGGAGCAAAAGTAGGTTTATAGTTGTGAGTACTCAAAACAAAGTTTATTCTTGAATTCTTATTAATTATTGTATTATTTTTCATATGAACAACTGTAAACCCACTTTTGCCACCTATATATGAACAGTTTCTACTTTCTGAGGCCTAGAGGCTTTAAAAGATCAGATAGGATATTCTCTTTGTTTCTACCCTGAGACCCAGGGCAGCAGAAGACAGTGTCTAAGAGGCAGCACTTAGACTGCCTATGGCTCTCCTTCACCCATGTTTCTCCTGAAACATAGGTAGTAGGGTGGCACAAGGCACCGGATGCCTCCTAACCATTTCTTGGCATCAGCATCCCTTTCCATCACCAACCTCCTTTTGTGCCTCCTGTACACACACACACACACACACACACACCAGAAAAGGGAGAGGAAACTATAATTAATGATTACTTCTAGTATTATCCATTGGCAAGTACGTGTTTTGGCCCGTTGGAGAAATCACTTACCGGGGCTTTTTTGTCAATGGGCTTGATGACAAATTTCTTGTCATTGAAAGAGATGTTCCTGATTTCACTCCAAGGAAAGCCTATCTTGGGAGTCAGTCTGTAGAAATGGAGACCAAGAACATCAGAACAAGGGCAAAACATGGACATAGAGGGTTGGTGCCTTGCCAATTTCTCCTTTCAGGAGATAGATTAATTGCCCGCTCAGCTAGTGTCATGACATGCCACCAGGTCAGTTTGTCAGTATTGAGACTGCCCAAAGGACCTCCCAATACTAAAACCAACTTAACCTTTGCCCCAATCTTTCAGATTTGTTTTATTATATGTTTTGTGTGACATTGTAATAGAACCTCCTCTCCTATTTAATTGGGACTCTTCTATCCAGATTATAAAAGTTGGGAAGAAAGTAAATAATGAGATCCAAGATTCAGAAGTTACATGGAACAATAATCTATTGATCTGCATCCTCACCAAGAGCAGACCAAAGGGGGAAAAATAAGCAAATGAGATAAGGTTGTAGAAAGCGAATTTATAGGCCAAAAGGCACTTACTCATTATACAGGGGTTGGATTAATTATAAATCCTGACAAAGTAGGTTCTAGGCCAGTGTTGTCCAACAGAAATATAATAAGAGCCACATATTCTAGTAGCCACTTAAAAATAGGTAAAAATAAACCTGTGAAATTAACTGTTATAACAGTTCATTTAACTAATTATATAAAAAATACTATCATTTACAAATGCAAAGCAATATTTCAAAAAATATTAATGAGACATTTTACATCCTGTTTTTGATACTAAGTTTTCAAAGTCTGGTGTGTAGTTTATGCTTACAGCACATCTCGATTCAGAGTAGCCACATTTCAAATGCTCAGTAGCCACATGTATTCATAGTAGATAGTGCAAGTCTAGTCAATATAAGATTTAAAGGCCCAAGGGAGTTTATGCAATTATCTGGGCTGGTCTAAACTAGGTAGAAAAGGAACTATCAAGGTGGGACCTAGGAGATACAATCTTACTCTCTGGTAATTGCTAAATGCCAGAGTGGCCCAAATAATCTAAGAGACTTCTGAGGTATACCTGTCATTCTGCTCATAGATGTTGAGACCCAGAGCATCCACTCCCAGCCACAGCTCTGAGCCTTTCTTGTTTTTGATGCTGAAGTAGTTCACACCATACATCTCCAGGTCCTGAGCAATCTTCAGATACTCCAGGACAGCATCCTCCCTAAACAACAGAGTGGGAGGTTATAGAAGGAAGCCTGTGAATCAGGCCTAGGGAGAGAGAAAGCCTATCTGCTCTGCATTTATGACAAGTATCTTGCCAACAGGGATGCAAAAGGGGATGGAAGGTAAGCAGATGATGGTAAATAGAGCACAACATGAAGCCTGAGGTCTGAAGTTCCCAATGGAAATAAGGGTAGGCTGAACCTTGCTATTTCCTAGCATGTTAGCTGCCATAGAAGCCTCTTTTATAGGCATGTTCTTAGCAGAGCCCAGATGGAATGCTGATGGCAAAACAACAAAATTTGTTCAACTAGAGAGCCCACAAGTGGTTTGCCATGAAAGAGCTCATTCTGCTTCTTTCTTGGGGAGGAGCCCCTGGTGGCCCACATGTTCCCAAGGGCCCCTCCATTTCATTATGGTCAAAACTACTTGGGCTATCTATTGCTATCATTCACAAAATAATATAGCTTTATACTATAGCTTCATATTGGTTCTGATTAGCCTTCTATTTCTAAATAACCCTGTATACTGTATTTCTCTCTTTCAATCTCTCTCTTTCTCTCTCTCTCTCTCTCTCTCTCTCTCTCTCTCTCTCTCTCTCTCTCTCTCTCTCCCTCCCTCCCTCCCTCCCCAACATCCTCCTGTGTTCCCCCAGTTCTCTGCCTCTTATGCCCCCAGAGCCATTCTCCTTGCAGGGGCAGTGGAAGCTCACAGTTGCTAGGTTAGGCTTACCTGAGCATGCCCCGATGCTCCTCATGCCACACCTGGATCCGTTCCTCCCACTGTTCCTTGTTGAGTTTGTGTTGCTCCAGGACTCTGGAAAGAAAATGGGTATTGAGTAGTTTAAAGCACAAAGCCAAAATTACAGGTGTTAAGGAAAATCTACTTATCTCTCTAAGGGTTTGATGCAAAGGGGCCCAAGCAGAGAGGTAATGTATCAAGAGTCTGTGCTGGTTTGTGGGGCTAAAAGTAGGGATGGGCCTCACAGGGGCATGCACACTCTCTTCTAGATCCTTGTGGAACCAGTAGTGTGTTTGTGAGAATATTGCTCAGGGATAAGATTAAAGTTTGTGGCTTTAGAACAGAGAACTGAGCCCAAATGGCTTTGGAAAAAAAAAAAAAAAAACAGGCTCAACCTCTCAGATCTACTAGATCATAAACAAGGTTTGTTTCAAACATACCATCTTCGACATCATGGCAGCAACTCATGAAGTCGCTGAGCAGAAAGGTGGAGTCTTTTTTCCAATCCAAAAAAGCTTATGAAAATGGTCATTGAATACAGTGGGGGGGCAGGGAGGGAGGGGATCCAGGGTTTAAAAATCAAGAGACTAGGATTCCAGGTCCAGCTCTGCTTCAAATGAGCTGTGAGATATTGAGCAAGTCAGAGCAAGTACCTTTGCACCTCTGTTTCCTTAACCAGGAAATAAGGATAATGCCTATCTTACTTATTTTGTGTATTGTTATGATGCTAAAACAAACACAATACATTTTTAGATCATTCCACTTTGAAGTTTATGAAAGCAAAAAGCTCTGAACACTGGTTATCAATATTAAAGGACTGTTTAAGCTACCATATCCCTGGCTTGCATAGTTCTCTCTCTCTCCCGCTATGAACCTGATATAAAAGGTTTAAATCAGTGAAAAGGATTGAGAAAAATGGAACCAGGGACAATAGAAAATCAATCCATCTCTGGTTCTCAATAAAAGAACCAGTTTCCAGGGTAATGAAGTTCTGTAATCAGGCAAACAGAATAGGGGGAGCTTTTTATTTTGAGAGCCCAAGAAACAACAGGGTATGGTACTATATGCAAATGTCTCTCTTAGACTACCATAACGTCATGGTCTTAAGACAGACCCTAGTTGGGAGCAACAGATCTGACAGCCCCTGTGTAATAGGAATTGGTCAGCCTTAGGCCACAGGCCCTCTGGCCAGGGCAGATAGCCAGACACAACCTTACCTCTGTGGCAGCAACTTGTCCCCTGCCAAGTAACCAGTCTTGTGAACTTCCTTATTGAAGTCACCATACTTGGATTGGACAGCATAGGAGGCCAGCAGCACAGCAGTCTCGGGTGGGCAGTAAATATCATCATTGAGAATGCCCTCCTTTACTTGCAGGAAGAACAGGCGCTGTGTGATATCCTGGATCAGTTCTTCAGATACATCTTCAGGGTAGAACTTGGCCCGGAATTTGAAGAGCAGGGGGCTTTCCTTCCGCACATCCTGGGCAGTCACCTGGGAGCAGCAAGAAGTTATGGATTCTCAAAAATAGACTGGAGTGGATGTAGGGGGGGGGGAGAAGACACTGAAAGGCCATAAATTTGGGTAATCCCAAAGAGCCAGAGAGAAACTCTCCTGGTAATTCAGAAAAGAGACACATTATTTTCATTGGGGAAATAATTACATGTCCACAATTGCTTTCTGATGGGGACTGGTACTTGAAATAAAGATGGCCAGGAGGTGTGTGAGGGTGGGCTGGAGGGAGTCAATGGGGGAAAGAGGGGACATATGCAATACTTTCAACAATAAAGAATTATTTTTCAAAAAGATGGTTATAAGCCCCAAAGCCACCATCATCTGACAAAATATCCAACTGCATGCAAATTCTAAGGGGATTCCTAAAAAAGCACCTCTTTTAAGGCTCTCCCAACTCCATAAATTAGCAAACTAAAGACCAAAATGCATGAATAAAGCCTGGGAATTGGTTAGGTAAGAGAACCCATTAGGGTGCCTTTTAAAGCCTGAAGTTGGCTCCCAAGGGTTCTACAATTGTCCAGCAAAAGTCTCCACTCTCGCCGAAACCAGTTTGGCTCAGTGGATAGAGCGTCAGCCTGCGGACTAGGAGGTCCCGGGTTCAATTCCGGTCAAGGGCATGTACGTTGCTTGCGGGCACATCCCTAGTAGGGGGTGTACAAGAGGCAGCTGATCGATGATTCTCTCTCATTGATGTTTCTAACTTTCTATCCCTCTCTCTTCCTCTCTGTGAAAAATCAATAATATATATATATATATATATATATATATATATATATATATATATATATTTAAAAAGTCTCCACTCTTTGGGAAAACAAAACACTGCCAGCCAAAAGTTGAGGCATCTATCTCCTAGATACAATTAGACAAACAAGTCATAGAACAGAATGGAGACCTCCAAGGATAAAGGCAGACTGTTTGAGGATATTGAGTTGAAGAATTGCCATGTTCCTGCAGAGTTGCTACTAAGAGGTAGAGAGCAGATCATCCCATTTGGAGAACAATTGAGATAGAAAATGAAGAAAGAACATTTATATGGAGTGAAGGTATCAGTTGACAGGTTGGAAAAGAGACAAGATGGGTTATGAGACCTTTGAAATTCCAGTTCAAGAGTATATGACTCTCTTTTTAACAAATTCCTAACCCCCTTGACTTTGAAAACAAACAAACAAAAAGATACCAATCTCCTCCTGAAGAACCACTAATGATTAAGATCTAGAAAATGTCAAAATTCAAGACAGAGCTTCTAGTAGGAAGGGAAAGACACCTTCCTTCTTGGACCCTGGCCATTCTTTCTATGAGAAATTATAGTGGAAACAGAACAAGATTACATTGGCTTAATCTTCTGCCCTTATTCTGATCCTATGGTCAACGGACTTCCCAGTGGAAAACACAGACCTAGGTGTTCTGGATTTGCCAGCTAGCATATGTTACCCACCCCTCCCCCGAGCAAGATCTGGAAAGGAATGAATTCCAAACCCAAGAGTGGGGTAAGCAGTTACCTTCTTATTGAGTTTCAGCCAAGTGGAGAAACCCTTAGTGTCCTGGTACTGCAGACCAAAGAACCAAACTTCCCTCAGGCCAATAGTTTTCACCACCTGGAAGAGAAAACACAAACAACCACTGATTGAATGCCTAGCTTGTACCAGACACAGAGGACACAAAAGTGGAACTCATTTGGTACCTTAGAGAATATAAGGTACCCAGGGTCTGGCAAGAAAATACACTTGAGCAACAGTCAAGAAGTGAGGTTAGCATCTATTTGTCCAAAGTGCTTCTGAGGTAGGGAATGGATCTTTTATAAGCACTACCACACCCCAATAACTTTTTATATATTATCCCCTTTAATTTTCCCAAGAGCCCTTTGATATAATTATAATTAGGCCCATTTTACAAATAGTGAAAGTAAAGTTCAGAAAAGTAAAGCTTCAGTTAGTCAGTAGCAGAGTCAGGTCTGTTTGACTCCAAACCTATTCAATTCTAGTGCTTTCTGTTATTCCCTCCCTCTGTTACGCCATGCAGCTTTCCACCCCCCATGATGGATTAAAAACTGAAGGTAGAGATTGTTGGCTTAACTCCTGCATCTTATTTTCCTGAGTTGCTCTTTTATCCTTAGCAACTAGGAATAATGCCCACACCCTTCAGACTGAGTCTTATTTACAATGCCCTAAGAAAGAATGCTTGAGGAGATAAAGCAGGGACTGTGATATATATACATCCAAAGCTGTGCTGTGTCTGGAAGCTCAGATGCCTCTTTACAGCCCTGATTAGAGCCCACTCATGATTTATATTACCATTCACACCGTGGGAATGAGGGTGGAAACTGGGTGAGTACCTCAGTATAGTAGCTGAGGAGCCCCCTGATGTTTTGGGCCCCTTGGCTGAGCAGTGGGAAAGAAAGGAAAGTCAGCCAGGAGAAGACAGGTTGGGTATGTTTTCAAGTCCCTGACATTAGCATGTTAATGGTTCTGGCAGGCAGTTGCACACCAGTATGCCTATCACTGTGGGTGAAGGTAATGAAACCTAGCCACATCCTAATGAGGTCTTGCTGGCATCAGGCAGTCTCCTTTTTCTCTCTCTCTTCTTTTTTTGGCAAGGTCAGAGGGAGGGTTGAAGGCAGTAGAGGGGTGAGATGAAGAAACTTACTTGGCAACAGAAATAGGAAACAAGGACACAGTGTTGCTGATGTCCTTCCCGTGAATAAATCACTATCTCCCCTCAAAACACACACATATACCTCCACTGTATCCACAAAGTTTCTACTATGCCTCCAAAGCCATGTCCCCTGGTCACTCTCAGAGCTTACAATCTATTCTAGAGCGTCAGAGGCCCCAAGAAAAAAGTAGTTCATATGTATTAAGTACCTATTATATGCCACTGAAAAACCTATTATCTCCATTTTATAAGTGAAGAAGCTAAGGTTTATTTATTTATTTTTTAAAATATATTTTATTGATTTTTTACAGAGAGGAAGGGAGAGAGATAGAGAGCTAGAAATGTTGATGAGAGAGAAACATCAACCAGCTGCCTCTTGCACACACCCTACCGGGGATGTGCCCGCAAGCAATGTACATGCCCCTGACCGACCGGAATCGAACCTGGGACCTTTCAGTCCACAGACTGACGCTCTACCACTGAGCCAAACCGGTTTCGGCAAGAAGCTAAGGTTTAGAGAGTCAATCTTTCTAAAACCGTAGAGCCTAGACTAGAATCCTGATGTGTATGACTCCAAAACCTCTACCCATACTACTCTACTATGCTTTCTCTCTTTTTTTTTTTAAATGTTTTTATTAATTTTAGAGAAGAAGGGAGAAAGGGAGAGATATAGAAACATCAATGATGAAGAGAGAATCATTGATCAGTGCCTCCTACACGCCCCCTACTGGGGACCAAGCCTGAAACCTGGGCCTGTGCTTCAACAGGGAATGGAACCTTTACCTCCTGGTTTATAGGTCGACATTCAACCACTGAGCAACACCGCTGGGCTCTACTATGCTTTCTTTTAATGACAAAGGCTCACAGGAACGTAAGATCCCTAGGGTTCTCAAGTGAGTAACTACTTTGTCGCTCTTTTAATCCATACATCCCAGCCAGATAATGAAATTTGACCATCTCTGTGTATAAATATGGTTTCCGGCTTTCCCGTCAGGCTCAGTCAACAACCACTTTGGAGATAAGCCACATTCCCATGTCATCAGCCTTCACTGCTCACTGGGGCAGTGAAAGTTGATGGTCTCACTTTTCATATATTAAAACAAGTGTCAGAAAATCTGAAAATCTCTCTTTTGTCTCCATTTTGCTGTGTGATCTCAAGGCAGCACATTTCCTTCTCTAGCCTCAGCTTCTCAATCGATCCTGCCTCCTCATCTACAATAAGTTGTGTTGCTTAAATGGGCTCTTTCTTCTCTTGAGCTTTATCATTCTATTAATTAGGTTTTCATAAATGACTAAGAAATGCAATCCTATTTATCCTTGTGTAACTAAGAGCATGTTTAGAAAATATAAGTTGGGGGTAAGGGTATAAGGCAAGATCAAAAGACTTCCGGGATTCAATGGCAAGGTGAGTCTAAGTCAATAAGCAGTAAGAATTGCCACCAGGTTTTAGGTGGAGAATACAAAATGTTCATGTTGAAATGTGACATTGGCTTTTCCACCCCCAGAGGATAGAGGGATAGTGTGTGGACAGGAAATATTGTTTAAAGCACCTCTTATCTCACCCTAGGTATAATAGGGATCAATTAAAAATTCTAATTATTTTCCATGTGGTTGCAGAAGATACAATCAGTAAGAAGTAAGTTCCAAGGAACAATTCAGCCCCAGGAGAAAAAGAAACCTACCAAAGATGCTGAAGATCAGGGATAGGATACTTAATGTGTGTGTGTGTGTGTGTGTGTGTGTGTGTGTGTGTGTGTGTGTGTGGTGGTGGAGGAGGGGGTTGAGGGGTGGTAGAGAAAACTCCACACGGAGCTGGTAGAGCAGCAACTGGCCTTTGCCTGTATCAATAGCCCCATTGTAGAGTCTCAGAGACCCCAGAATTAAAAGGGAGTTCAGCAGTTACAGACTATATAACCAGTCCCAGAGGTCCCAGGAGTGAACTTTTTAGTCTCTTTTTGCACCAGGTTGTCTGGTTCACTAGTGAGATGGGTAAAAGTGTGATGAGAGGCAGATTATGGGTGCCAAAATAGATCCAGGATCTGCAGTATCTCTGAGGAAAAGTTGGACAAAGTAATAATTAAGTGCTATAAAAATAGATTTCAGAATCAGTAGAGAATTTTTAATCTCTGTAAGCAGTGTCTTCCCTTATGAACACAGAGAAATGAGATGTATAAACATTTTCTACTTCTTTAGGCTCCAGCGCTTGAAGAGATGAGCAATGTCTCTCAGCCTACTGATGTCCCAAAGTGAGGTGGTAAGGTGTGTGTGTGCAGGAATTGGGATGGGAAGAAGGGAAGAAAATATGGTCTAAAATCAGAATTGAGGCTAAAAAAGTAAATAACAAAAGTATAAAACAGATGACCCTTTGACTGAAGGCTATAAGGAAATCTCAAGACTTGGAAATGAGGCCAAGCTTTGCTTGCTTTCAGGTGAGACGTCAACTGCAGAGGAAAGAGAAACCTCATTTTCTAGTGGGAGAGCATATCTAGATTCTGGTTCCAGGAATAATATCTGTAACTAGGATCCTATCCTTCTACTTTAAGAAGTGGCTCCATCCCTGAGGAAAAAAAAAAATCTTTCTTGGCTTCCTTTGACCCCAGACTGCCAGCTCATCTGGCCAGATACTAAATCTCATTCATCCTACAGCAATGTGTACCTCCTAGATTCAGACACATACTATAGGTCAGCGTTTTTCAACCGCTGTTCCGCGGCACACTAGTGTGCCGCGAGATGTTGCCTGGTGTGCCGTAGGTGCAGACAAGACAAGAATTTTATAATTTTTCACTATTTTGTTTACTTAATATTTCATAATAAAGTAATTATAAAATACTTTCTTTGTGTTTATTTGATTCCTATTCAAGAGAATTACTTTATATATAGTCAATATAGGCACAGAGTTAAATTTTTTAACATTTTCTAATGGTGGTGTGCCTCGTGATTTTTTTCATGAAACAAGTGTGCCTTTGCCCAAAAAAGATTGAAAAACACTGCTATAGGTAGTAGGGTTTCCGTTTTTAAGACATGGGTTGTGGATTACATTCAGCCCCACAATACAAATCCCTCAAAGAGACTCTGGTGCTCTATAGGGTTCAAGCAGCATAAAATGGAAAATTGGGACCCAGTGAGGGGGAGAGATTTGCCTCTGAGAAAATCTTCCCTAATTATCAGAACTACTTGGATGTAATAAAGAGCCCCCTTTTGACTCTCTTTCTTATGTGGAGGCTGCCTGTGTCTGAGGTCTGTGGAGGAAAGGGGAGATAAGGTCAATTCTGAAGCCTAGAGCACCTCCTCCCTATATACCCAATGCATCTGATTAAACAAATTAAGTGACAGAATCAGCCACTTCAGAAGCCCAGAACAGGGTCAGAAAGCAAGGCTGAAGCTTCAAGAGGAAAAGTGTATGAGGAATTATTTGCAAAACTGCATCAATGCCCAAACACCTGAAGCCTATTGAGATCCTATTACAGGCTTGGCAGTGACTACATCAGCCACCCACCTAAAAGCAAATCAATGCACAACTGTAAAGTTCCAGGAGGGGCTACTGCCATTACTACTTATGCTACTCCACAGTGCCTATGCTCAAATGGCCACCTGCTCTATAGCACAAAACATACTTGGCTAGAGTTCTAAGCTTAGGGACCAAACTTTCCTCCCCTCACAATGGGAATAGGCAAAGAAAAGGGAGGTCACAGAGGACACAGCTGACAAAAGACACTGGGAAATTGAAAATGGTATGTGGCTTGATTTAAGATATTATACCATTTCCTAGCTATCTGACCTTAAACACGCTATTTTTCCCCCTCTCTAAGCCTCAGTTCCTCATCTAAAAGATGGAGACATTACAATTGCAATAATAGATAGCCGTTATTCTATAAAATAAAATGCAAGAAAAAAAATGCTGCTGCCTTCAATATAGAGTCCACAAATCTTAAGGACTTTACTG